AAAAATGCCTATCATCATAAACATTATAGAGAAAAATTTAGAAATTTATTTACTAGACTCCTGACAGAGTTTACCTCTGGATGGGATTGGCAGGGTTAGGGGATGATTAAGGACAGCTTTATATTTTAACTGTATACACCTTATACATATATTTGTTAACAGTTAGCAACTCAGCTGCAGACTAGATTGAAGTTCTGACCTCTTGGATGGAGTCCACTGAGCTAGCAGCTATCTTTATGTGTCTTTGGGGTTCTTCCACCATCCCTCCATAGTGCTTTCTGTGGTCTTGGGGCTGCATTAGTCTCTCTAGTTAATTTTTTTTATTGCTTGTTTTTGTCTCAAAGGGTGGCCTTGTGAGTTGGAATGCCTGTCTAAATGTTGAGATTAGACACAATGGATGAAGATCGATTAATGAAAGAAGTCCTGGATAAGTTTGTGAATTGTCATGAGCAGACATACGAAGAATTTCTGAGTACTTTCACTTATCTTTCAAAAGGTAAAAAAGAAGTAAACTTCCTATAGCAACGGAGACAGAGAATGTATTGTAAGTTTATGTTTTTGCTGTCCTTTCAGAAGGCTGTTTCATGAACATTCATTCTATGCCTTAGATCAGGTAATTCTCAGTAGAACATTTGTGACCAAGAGGTATAGAAACCTGTGTCTTCATACATTCAGGAATTGTGTTGCAGAGTCAGAGCCATGTGATAACTACGAATAATGGAGAAATTATTTAGTTATTCCTTTCATTTTATTTTTTAAGAAATACAAACACAGAGTAGAGGTTGTTAAAAAGCTTATTTAAACTTAGACACTGTACACATCCAGGTTTTGACATGATCTCTTACTTGCTATTTGACTTCAGTAGTGGTGGTTCCCAGTTATTGGAACTAATGGTGGCAACTCCCTCAAAGGGTTACAAGGCTAATGAGATGTGCTATGCAAAACTGAGCATAGTGGTTAACACACAGTAAACACTCAAAATTGGGTGGTGTTATTGCTGTGATGATGGTGGTACTGGTGATGATGATACTGGTAATGGTGCTATGGTTTCTGTAGACCTGGGGTGATAAAGCTGTAGCCTAAAGTCCAAACTCATGGGGTGAGTTTCATTATGCACTTTGTTCTCCTCAGGTAATGTTGATTTTTAATTGAGCCAGTACTTAGATGTTTAGTAATAGAGAAAATTGATTGTATTTTTTTCCAGATCAAATGAGAACATTAGGTGTTTGTGATTTCTCTCATAGTGATGTCAGCTGTAGCCCAGGAGCCCCTGCCCTGGAGTACCTTAGTTTGTATGCTCTCTGGCGCTCCCATCATCAGGCTCTAAAATGTGTGCTACCTTGTCTGTTTTGCTCATTTATATGGCCTCCAGGGGCTTTGGAGTTGTGATCATTTTAGGTTCTGCTTTAAGCTGTCTTTGACATGCTCTGACCTTTGTCTCTTTCTAGGCCATTAATCTATAGTTGAGGGTCTATGTGACATCATGGCATCTCTACCCAGCTGCATTTTGGAGTCATCTGAGGAGCTTTTAGACAATTGCAACAGAGCTCACTCTGCAGCTCAGCTGGGGCCAAGGAGTCAGGATTTTGTAAAAGCTCCTCTGGCGACCCTGATGTGCACTCAGGGCTGATCTGTAAGGCTGTGATAGTCATAGTAAACCTCTTGATTTTAAGTCATGATTCATGTTTTCTGAACAAATGTAACAAAAAGAGATGTGGTTCTAACTTGTTTCTTTTATTGTTCAAGATGCAGATTGAACATTCCTAATGTGAAAATCTGAAACATGAAGTGCTTTGAAATTCCAGACTTTGCACACTGACATGACACCATAAGTAGTAAACTCCATACCTGATATGACACCATAAGTAGTAAACTCCACACCTGACATGGCACCATAAGTAGTAAACTCCACACTTGACATGGCACCATAAGTAGTAAACTCCATACCTGACCTCATTTGATAAGTTACAGTCAAAATACCCATATTCTGAAAATATTCAGTAAAATTACCTTCAGGCTAACGTATATAAAGCATCATGGAATTTCATGTTGCAACTTGGGTCTCCCCCCAAATCTCATTGTATAAATGCAGCTGTTCTCAAATCTGAAAAAAAAAAATCCAAAATCTGATGCCCTGTGCTGTAAGCATTTTAGGTAAGTGTTCCTTTTTCCTCACAGCCTTGCAGGTTCTATTGTTGTTATTGTTTTTAATACTGTAAATTCTGACGGGGTGAGATATAATCTCAGTGTAGTTTTGATAGCCAAACAATAAGATCAGTATCCATTTTGTTTACACTTAAACGTGGACTGTGTTTTTTATTTAGACTTAAGGGAAGTGGAGAATTTAGGAATATCAGATAATTTGGGGTCTGTGTCTGACTGATTGGGGGCAGTGTGTGTATATTGACATGCTGTGTAGATAATGTCTAAGCGACCTTTGGTCTGTGAACTTGGGCTTATAGCATCTTTTGATTAATGAACTTGGGTTTAGGAAGTTGCTTGCTTTCTTTATACCTAGTCATTTAGTTCTTGCTCTCTGGACCCAAACATGGAACTATGAATGGTTATATAATAATATAAAGCAATATGGTTCAAGGTGGTCCAAGTAAAAGTAAACCTGGAAGAATTAATGAATTTTGGATTTGTATTACTTTGGAATGTATTTGTATGACGGACTTGGTTTTTGTCTGAGGGAATAGTAAAACCTTAGTGCTTCTTAGTCTGTCTTCAGATTCTGGTTTCTCATTGCTTGCCGAGAGAGAAACTGCTACAGAGGCAGTGACTTCCTTTTGAGTGCAGCGTGGGGTCCAAATTGAGCTGAAATAAATGATGATGCAAGTCACATAAACTACATCTCCAAGCACACTAACTGCTTTTTTCTCTCAAAATATCCCTAGGCGCCAGTTCACATTATAAACTAATGACCTGAAAAAAATTCTTCTTAAAGCACAAAGAGTTGTATGTACAAAAGTATGTCTTAAATTAGTAATTGTCCTTTTTTTCCCTTGAAACATTTAAATACTTTCTGAAGGACCAGGCAGGACTTAGGGACATGACTCAGAATTGAGTGATAGCCTGGATAATCGATCTAGGTAGATACGGTAAACTCTGAGAAAGACATTAAGTCTATTTTCCAAAGTTTCCGTCTCTCGGCCTTGTTTTCAGGCCCTTCATTTGTCTCAATGTGGTTGGTTGCTTAGCTTGAATCTTTTCTGTCAAAGTGGCTATCAGCAGGCATACTTATGCACATTTCCTTAGTGGGTTCAAATTCTCAAGTCCATTACGGTTTCTACTGATTGACCACTCTGTTTATTCTTATAATAGTTATAAACCAGAATGCTTATGGGATTCATTTTCTTTTGAAGAGTGTTAAAAGGGTCAGTAATCCTATTAAAAATATTTCCATGGAAAAAATTAAATTACAGGCTGTTTTAAAGAAATTCACATTACTGTTTCAGATTCTTGGAAAACAGTTGGAAACTTTTAATATTGCAGCATAATTCTCCTTGCATTATATCGAAGTTGATTATATTTTGAAGCTTTTTTAAAAGCAACTCTGAATTTTTAAACCATGGCACACATTTGATTATAAGTACAATGTTTTATCAAAATGTTTAAAGGCATATTAATTAGTAGTTTAAAATGGACAGTATAATTGAATTCTCAGTAGTGGTTTCAGTTCAAGAGGATAAATTAAGTTTGAAGATACATGTTAGGAAATCAGTATATGGAGTTTTGCTTCTTCATTATTGGTAGAGACGTTGTTATATTGTTGACATTGTGGATGAAGATAAGTGCTATTTTCAGTCTTCTGTATCTCAGTTTCTTTCTGAATATTCTTTAAGAACTTTCTAAAATAGCTAGGTAGAAAAGGTTTTTTTCATATTTGTCACGTTTGTGTCATGTTTTAAAGTTTTTGACAACACATGAATGAATGCTTATGTTTTTATTTCATCCATCCCATCCATCCATCCATCCATCCATCCATCCATCCATCCATCCACCCATCCATTCTTTTAATGTCTTCTTATAGTCTAGATATTATTTTAGGTGGTGAGGACTCAAAAATTAAGGATATATTTTGTGTTCTCAAGGTCTCAGAGTCCAATGAGAGATGGACAAGCAAGCAAGAAATACCATCAGAGGAGAGGGACTCCACTGTGTGGAGAGTGCACACGGTATTGTGAGAATGCGTAAAAGGCACCCAGGCTGTCTGTCCATCAGTGAGGATGTCTGAGTTGAGTCTAGGCTAACCATTGAGCTAAAACTTGCCTTGTATCCTAACACATTAAGTAGAACACAGGAAGTTTTGACACATAAAAGGAGAAATTGACAGAGATTGGAACCACATGTGTTGATGATAGTCCTTTTGGTCATGGTTTCATTAGTTTTAGTATAGATATATACATACATAGTATATATACACAGACATAGTACATATGTTTGTATGTGTACATATGTACACATTTATACAGATAACATTTTTTTTTTTTGATATGGTATCTCCCTGTAGCCCCAGCTGAGCTGGAAATCACTGTGTAGACCAGGCTGGCCTCCATCTCACAGAGATCCACCTGCCTCTGCCTCCAGCACCACCACACCCAGCTCACAGTTAACACTTAAGCAGCAGACCTTCTAGATGAAGATAGAGCTTTGCTTTAGTATGGTTTAGAATTACTTCTAGGTTGCTGAAAATAAAAAGTAATTTCTTCTCATACCAGGGCCAGCACATGATCTGATTTTAGAGATATTGCTCTCATCTTTTAGCATGAGAATTGCTGTTTAGGTTGCTGTCATACAGATTGTAGTTACAAAGGCAATGACTTGGAGATTGGCCCTGAATCGTTCCAGCTCCATGTTCAATGCAGTAACACCAGGGGAGCGTTACAGAAGGATGGTTTGAATGTGGCTTACTCCCCAAGGGTTCATATGCTGAAGGCTTGCCCTTCCCCGCCCCCTGTGGTATTGGGTGTTGTTGAAGTAATGGAACCTTTAAGAGGTAGGGCCTTCTGTGAAGTAATTAGGCTAATGGGGTATTGTCCTCAGAAAGGACTAATGTTTGTCTTGTGAAGTGCATTGGTTCTAATCAGCCTAGGTGGTTACAAAAAGAACAATGCTGGTCCTTCCCTGTTCTTTGGGTTCCCGTCTTGCCATCTGTTCTCTTTCCCTTTTGTGTAGTTCCAACATGATGTGTACCATGTATGTGCCTGGTGCCCAAAGAAATCAGAGGAGGGTGCCGGATCCCCTAGAACTGGAATTACAAGTTGTTAGACACCATGTGGGTGCTGGGAACTGAACCTGGGTCCTTTGCAAGAGCAGCAGGTGCTCTTAACCTCAGAGCTATCACTCCAGCCCCTCTTATTTATTTCTTAAAATTCTCAGGATTCAGATCCCCAAGTGATCCTTTCAGTGTCTCTATTAACATATGCTAGCAGCTTTCTATTCATGTCACATTGTCACATTTACCTCCTGCAGCCTGTTTTTTTTTTTTTTTTT